AAAAAAAAATCCGAATTATGGGATTTGAATTTGAGACATTTTGGTCTTAACAACCTCATTTTGACTGTTAGGTTAAGGCGATTAACATATAATTTTGTACAAATATATAGATTTAGAATAGTGGTTTTGATTGTGAAGTTATTTCTCTATGTTATTTGACTCTAGTAATATTAAACAAAGTATATTTGACCATTCAATTAAAGAAAGTTGCTAATTTTGATCTAATCATTAACATAAGTACAAAAGAGAAAAACAAAATTATTTAGTTTTTGCTAGAGGAGTACCTGACTTGTTCTTCTTGAGGGTAAACTAGTTTCTCTTTTGAGTTTGTTTTAGTGATTAATTGGATCAATATCATCAACTTTGTCTAAGTGACGTTTTAATTTGAATATGACAGAAACAGAATCAGAATATTAAAACAAAATAACTTAATGACTAAAACTATCATTCTAATAGCAATTAGTAAGTTAATTTGCTAATGACTTTTATTTCCATATATAATTCTAATCTGCCAACTTATCTAGCTCATTTTATTAGGATTGAATTTAGTTTTAACATACCAAACTTTGTTCAACCAAAAATTTTACAATGTGATTTTCGCATACTATAGGGTACATCCAATTATCCAAATGTCTACAATATTTGTTATCAAAGAAAAAACAAATATGCATTTCTCTTATACTCTTTGAACGAATCGAGTGAGGATTCATATAACCACGCGATATATGTTGAAAGATTAGAGAGAAATGAAAGAGGAAAGGAAACATAAAGCTTTTCTTTGCTCGATAATTAGCAAACTTTTTCTCGAAAAAATTTGCCTTTTTTCTGGTCCTTAATCTCGAGCACTAATTACAAATTTGTTAGTAAATTTTCTAGCTATACGAGAAAATATGTCAACATCTATTTTCTCAACATCTGATTGAATTTAATTTTTTTTGTTCATTGTAATTAATTCTATTTTGAATAAAATAAATCTTGTATTCTTTTACATATACAACTAAGTACTTAATA